CGTGAGTCACATACGGCTAGCAAGGACACACTGTATTGTCCAGCCGTACGGCACATTTCAAAATTACATGAAAGTTGAAAATGCATATGATATTTTGTGTCTTTAAACAAGTATTTTAACCAAGAACACACATTTGTCCCCTTACAGCTAGCCACTTCTAAATAAATAACCTAAAACAATAATAAATACAGTGAGTTACTCAACAGTTACAGGGCTTGAGCTAGGGGGCGACTTGGGCGAAGAAGTCGCCTTTGGATCAGCGACTTCGCCTAAAACAAACTTCAAAGCGATTTTGAAGTCACACGATTTTTTTGTGATCTGTCATACTTTTTTACGATGCTAGGTCTGTTAACAATTTATTTACTTCTCAATTACAACCAATTACCATTAATCCGCTAGTTAAAAACGCGTGTCAACATCAACAAATTCTAATACACGCCGCAAGGCAAGAGTTCACTATGTATATCATTCTCATTATGTATTTATGCGATTGACGAATCAGAACGCTCGTTGTATATGAGACAGTTTGCATTGATCAATCAGCGACACACAAACATACTGCTGCTAATTTTTGACATTTACACAAAATGGTGACAGATGCAATCAATTTTCGCCGATTGCATGATTAAAGACACCTGCATATACATAATTGTTGATAATTGTTGCGGTGTTTTGACGAGTAAAGATAAACACTGCCCAACATCTTAAAGGTGTGAATATGTTCGAAAAACTCGATTGTTAAAAACTTTTCGGAGCACTAATCTGTTGAAATTATGTGAAGATTTGTATCTAATATTTTATTAATACACTGAACTCCATAAAGTTAATACGCTGATTATACAAAATTAAATGTCTCTTACATTCTGGCTTGTGGGCAAATCAATTAAGGAAAATTGTAGATGATGACCAGTCTGACTCATTGCCAATGGCAAGTGGCACTGCTCTGCCCAACTAAACATACTCACAACATGTATACAGGATATGCATGGGTGCAAGTTTTCAGGCATATGTCTGAAGCTCAGGTTTTTTGTGTGTGACAAATTTCATCATGTCTGACTATTAGATTATGTAGAAAAATGATCATGAATAAAGGTTTTCAGGCTTTTCCAAATTTTCAACTTTCACTCATGTAATATTGTGTTTGCTATTGGTATACATTTATATAAAGTAGATTTATAGTAGAATTGTTTATTTGAGAAGTGTTTCTTATTTCTTTATTGGTATGTAAAGTTTCATAGCTTATAATTCTCCAGATGACGCCTAATATGTCTCCCAACTTCTCCCTAAAGTCTCCTCACTTCTCCCTAAATCAGCTGGAGGGAGAAGTCACTTCTCCCTAAAATTTTGACTAGCTCAAGCCCTGAGTTATCCAATAGTAGATCATAGCCAATAGCGGATCTGTATTTTAATGAAATATTCTACCAAAATTTTTAGTTTAAAAATGTTTTAACCTAAAAGTCATGTACATTAGGATGTTAGCTACTTGACAGCGAAATAAAAATGTAAACATGCAAGTAATTCATATCAGACTCACTCATTTGCTTTACCAAGCACTTCTTCATGGGAACAAAAAAAAGAGTAATAAACTGAAACATTTTTTATCATTTCTATGGATAATATAGATGTAATACATTTCGAGGGCTTGGTGCAAAAGGGTTTATAACTCATATTTAGTAAAGGAGTTACGACCCTTTCACACCAAGCTGTCGATTTGTAATAAAATATTCTTATCTCAGGCCTTTCCTTAGGCCCTTTGAGCACTGCTCTCCCGCTGTGCCTTAATCTCCAAATCAATCTTACTGCTGTGCCATAAAAGTCACCGTAGTGCTTAATTTTTTCAATCATTTGTGTAGCACTTGTAGTATCCGCCTCCACAATTAAATAATACACAACGGTTGTCAATCAGCATGTGTGATAATGGATTAACAGGTTGTTTTTAGGGTGCTATTAATGTCAGTCTGTGTAAAAATCCGTCAGCTATCAGTCATGGCTGAATAAAAATCAAGTTGTCCGAGAAATACTTTGTTACCGTCAAATTAATAAATTTTCAAGAAGCTAAAAATGTCAATGAGCTGTTTGATAATAAGTTTCCGGTGACTCAAAGAAATTTTTAAATATCCAGTCTCTTCAAAAATTTACACCATCAACGGTAAATTTTGCCGTAAATTATAAATTTTTAATTTTTGTTTTATGATGCATCTTGAAAAAGCTGATGAATAACAATCTTAAAATAATAAAAAAAAAAATTTAATCTGATATAATCAAAATCAACAACAACTAGAATGTCTTTTGCAGGAAACAGACAAAATCTCATTTGTCACATATTTTCGTGATGCCGCTTTTTATAATTAAAAAAGGTAACCAAAATGAACCTATGTTTTGTTAAAATGTGTTTTATAACACTTAAAATGTAGTTTATGAATTAAAATTACTTAAGGTATTGCTTACATTAGTTGAGACGGAGATATTTGCCAGTATCACATACTTGGGGGGGGGGGGTGTGGAGTGAATCAGGAAGAAAACAGCATAATTGTCTGTAGATGTAGGGTAAATTATATATAAGATCTTTTCAATCACTTTTTTATGATACCGTGTTTCCAATTTGGGAGTATAACCATTTTCCTAAATAAGCTTTTTTTCTCTGTTCAATTTCTGACTCCCTCACCCCTTATTCTGTTTATTCATCATATACATCAATTGCATAAATGCAGCAAAGATGGCTTACCATAGTCAACATTATTTGGAACTCGTACCTTTTATGGCTTGGGAGTCTCAGAACTCCTATTTTGAAAATCCTAGTGAGACACTTGTTACGCTGTTTTTTTTTTCAATGAGTCAGCATCTTGTTTTGTTTCTACATTGATGTTTACACTTATTTAAAGAAAGACAATCTGTTATAAACATTGAAAAGTGACTGTGAAGATAAGACAGTTAATGTATATATTGTTTATAAAATGATTTTTTTTTTCATTGTGTTGTTTTCTTAATTTTATGATTATAGTGTAATAAGTTGTTAAAATGTTACATTTATCTGTATCTTTTTAGCTCACCTGTCACAATGTGACAGGGTGAGCTTTTGTGATCGCTTTTCGTCCGGCGTCTGTCGTCCGTAAACTTTTACTTCAAATGACATCTCCTCATAAACCACATGGCCAATTTCATCCAAACTTCACAGGAATGTTCCTTTGGTGGTCACCTTTAAAAATTGTTCAAAGAATTTAATTCCATGCAGAACTCTGGTTGCCATGGCAACCGAAAGAAAAAACTTTAAATATCTTCTTTTAAAAAACCATAAGAGCTAGAGCTTAGATATTTGACATGAAACATCTTCTAGTGAGTGTCTACCAAGTTTGTTCAAATAAAAGCCCTGGGGTCAAAATTGGCCCCGCCCCGGGGGGTCATTGATTTTCCCTATATGCATATAGTAAAAACTTAAAAAATCTTCTTTTAAAGAACTCAAAGAGCTATGGCTAAGATATTGAGCATCAAACATGTTCTCATAGGTGTCTACCAAGTTTGTTCAAAGAAAAGCCCTGGGGTCAAAATTGGCCCCGCCCCAGGGGGTCATTGATTTTCCCTATATGCATATAGTAAAAACTTAAAAAATCTTCTTTTAAAGAACCAAAAGAGTTAGAGCTAAGATATTTAGCATGAAACATGTTCTAATAAGTGTCTACCAAGTTTGTTCAAATAAAAGCCCTGGGGTCAAAATTGACCCCGCCCAGGGGGGTCATTGATTTTCCCTATATATGCATATAGTAAAAACTTAAAAAATCTTCTTTTAAAGAACTCAAAGAGCTATGGTTAAGATATTTAGCATCAAACATGTTCTGATAGGTGTCTACCAAGTTTGTTCAAATAAAAGCCCTGGGGTCAAAATTGGCCCCGCCCCGGGGGTCATTGATTTTCCATATATGTGTATAGCAAAAACTTAAAAAATATTTTTTGAAAAAACCCAAATAGCTAGAGTTAAGATATTAAGCATGAAACATCTTTTAGTGAGTGTCTACCAAGTTTGTTCAAATAAAAGACCTGGGGTCAGAATTGGCCCCGCCCCGGGGTCATTGATTTTCCTTATATGTGTATAGCAAAAACTTAAAATCTTCTTTGAAAAAACCCAAATAGCTAGAGTTTAGATATTAAGCATGAAACATATTCTAGTAAGTGTCTACAAAGTTTGTTCAAATAAAAACCCTGGGGTCATAACTGGCCCGGCCCCAGGGGTGTCATTGTTTTTAACTATATGTGTATAGTAAAAACTTAAAAAAAAATCTTCTTTTAAATAGCCCAATGAGCTAGAGCTTAGATGTTTAGCATGAAACATCTTCTTATGGGTGTCTACCAAGTTTGTGCAAATAAAAGCCCTTTGGTTAAATTGGCCTTGCAACATTTGGGGGGGGGGGCGGTTGGGGGGCCTATATACAGGTGAGCGACCTCAGGGCCATCATGGCCCTCTTGTTTGTTTATGAAGACTCTTTAATACAGTAGAATTTGATGTAGCAAACATAAAATTAGCAAAAAGTTTCGAACGTGGAACAGGGGTCCTTGATCACTTTTAAACGGGCATTGAACATTTCTTTTAATGATGCAGATGTTTTTTCGATTGCAAAAGCACTATCGGGTCAGTCACAAACTTAAATTGACTTGACATTAAAGTATGTGGGTCAGTTCCTGATTAAATGAAAGAACCGAGGTCTCCCATATATTACTAATAGCTTATATATACTACAGCTTACATGTAGTCTTTAGAAATTACACAGATCCTGCCAATGCCCTTGCCACATAAAAGGTGCTCTTTCTTTTAATGAAAATGACTTGCAAAAATGTATGAGTGAAACATATAAACACTCACAATTTTCAAAATTCACTTAAATTTTGCAAGCTGTTTCAACCATGAAAATAGAGTTAAAGTAAAGTTGATCTACATTCACTTAAAGATATTTATTTAGCATCTGGGTGATTATATTGTTTAACATGTGTATATCAATTTTTCATTCCAGTTTTACAGATTATTAAGGAAGCACAACAGCAACATGGGCTTCGACATGGAGACTTCCAGAGATACAGGTAAGTCAAAGTAAAACTGTAAAGTATGTAAATGTAAACAATTAAAATAACATTAAATATCACAGACACTGAGACAGGAATGTTGTTTGCACCATATTGGAAACTTGCATGTACCAGCTCTCACCAATTCTACTAGTATCATGAAAAGTCAATTAGTTAAATGGTAAAGTCATAGAATTTTGGCACCAGCAGTTTGTATATACAGTAAAGACTGTCTTAGCGACCCCCTGTATATAGCGACGTTCTGTCTATAGTGACCATAGTTAGGTGCGCCGAACAGTATTTACTATATAAATGGTCTGTATGTAGCGACTCCCTGTCTAGTCCGTACAACGACCATGATTTAGTCACCCGTTACGGTATTTGAGCCGTGAACAGCGACTTTTGCAAGGGGAGCATGGCTTGAACTAGGTGACGACTTTGGCGAAGAAGTCGCCTTCGGATCAGCGACTTTGCTTCAGTCGCCCGATTTTTATAATTTTCCGTCATACTTATTTACGCCGCTAGGTCTGTTAATAATTTGTTTACCTCTCAATTACAACCAATTACCGTTAATCCGCTAATTAAGAACGCGTGTCAACATCAACAAAGTTCAATACACGCCGCAAGGCAAGAGTTCACTATGTTTATCTTTCTCATTACGTATTCATGCGATTGACGAATCAGAACGCGCGTTGTATCTACGGCAGTTTGCATTGACCAATCGGCGACACGCTAATACACTGTGGCTGTTTGTTGACAAATACACAATATGGCGACAAATTCAATCAATTTTCGCCGATAAAATGATTAATGACACATGCATATACATAATTTCTGCGGTGTTTTGGCGAGTAAAGATAAACAATGCCAAACGTCTTAAAGGTGTGGTTATGTTTGAAACCTCGATTGTTAATTTTTTTCGGAGCACTTATCTGTAGAAATTATGTGGAGATTTGTATCTAATGTTTTATTAATACATTGAACTCCGTAAAGTAAACAGGTTGATTATACAAAATTAAATGTCTCTACAGTAACATCTCATAAGTAAAATTGAAATTAAACATTTTTTTACAAACAGATTTATCAATATAAATTACATTTTAATGAATATGTAACTTTTAGATACTAATGTTATGGTGTAGTTTATAATCTTAACCAATTATACATGCAATTTTAACTTAAACCCTTAGTATGGTACTATCCTGCTTTTCAACAAAATATTGGTATGATATGTTCATATATCCGAATTATATAGAGACTGCCCACAGTGACTCCCTGTCTATAATGACCTTTTTTCTTTTCTCCCATCGAAGGTCACTGTAAACAGTCTTTACTGTACCCTGCATTTAGCTGTAGGACAAGTGGATGCTAACAAGTTTCTTTGAATTATGGCATGCATTTGAATTCGAGCAGTTTTTCAACAGTATAAATATTTTTAGCTCACCTGTCACAAAGTGACAGGGTGAGCTTTTGTGATTGCTTTTCGTCCGGCGTCCGTCAGGCGTCCGTCCGTAAACTTTTACTTTAAATGACATCTCCTCATAAACCACCAAGCCAATTTCATCCAAACTTCACAGGAATGTTCCTTTGGTGGTCACCTTTAAAAATTGTTCAAAGAATTTAATTCCATGCAGAACTCTGGTTGCCATAGCAACCGAAAGATAAAACTTTAAATGTCTTCTTTTAAAAAACCCAAAGAGCTAGAGCTTAGATATTTGGCATATAACATCTTCTAGTGAGTGTCTACCACGTTTGTTCAAATAAATGCCCTGGGGTCAAAATTGGCCCCACCCCAGGGGGTCATTGATTTTCCCTATATGCATATAGTAAAAACTTTAAAAAATCTTCTTTTAAAGAACCCAAAGAGCTAGAGCTAAGATATTAAGCATGAAACATCTTCTCATGAGTGTCTACCAAGTTTGTTCAAATAAAAGCCCTGGGGTCAAAATTGGCCCCGCCCCAGGGGGTCATTGATTTTCCCTATATGCATATAGTAAAAACTTTAAAAAAAATCTTCTTTTAAAGAACTCAAAGAGCTAGAGCTAAGATATTTAGCATGAAACATGTTCTAATGGGTGTCTACCAAGTTTGTTCAAATAAAAGCCCTGGGGTCAATATTGGCCCCGCCCCGGGGGTCATTGATTTTCCTTATATGTGTATAGCAAAAACTTAAAGATCTTCTTTGAAAAAAACCAAAATAGCTAGAGTTAAGATATTAAGCATGAAACATCTCCTAGTGAGTGTCTACAAAGTTTTTTCAAATAAAAGCCCTAGGGTCAAAATTGGTCCCGCCCCGGGGGTCATTGATTTTCCTTATATGTGTAAAGCAAAAACTTAAAAATCTTCTTTGAAAAAATCCAAATAGCTACTGTTTAGATATTAAGCATGAAACATCTTCTACTAAGTGTCTACAAAGTTTGTTCAAATAAAAGCCCTGGGGTCAAAACTGGCCCCGCCCCAGGGGTGTCATTGTTTTTAACTATATGTGTATAGTAAAAACTTAAAAAATCTTCTTTTAAAAAACCCAATGAGTTAGAGCTTAAATGTTAAGCATGAAACTTACCAAGTTTGTTTAAATAAAAGCCCTTGGGTTAAAATTAGCCCTGCCAGGGGGGAGGGGGGGAGGTCATTGTTTTTCATTATATATGTATAGTAAAAACTTAACATCATGAAAAATTTTCTAATGGGTGTCTTCCAAGTTTGTTCAAATAAAAGCCCTTGGGTTTAAACTGGCCTTGCTCCGGGGGCCTATATACAGGTGAGCGACCTCAGGGCCATCATGGCCCTCTTGTTTCAAATACATGTTTGTGTTTGAAGGAACTCCACTGAAGTCCGAAGGACTAAAACATAAAATTTAAATTTCTTACATAGATCAGCTGGGACATAAGAATAAATATTCTAGGAAAAACAGAGAGCGAATGATCTGAAAGTTTGCACACAAGTTACAAGTCTAGACCTACATCAAATTGAACATTTATCTCAAAAAAATTCTTCCAGTCCCATCATGTCAAGAAACCTAAGTGGTTTCCCTTTTAAGAAGGAAAAATAGAACATAAATTCAAAGAAAAACGAACAAAAACTAAATAAAAGAAGTACATCTATAAAGAGTGATATAATAACAGTAAAAGGTGTTAATGGTTGGCTGTATGGGGAGAAGATGACCAACAGATGCCAGAACTTTACATGCATATAAATACTAAAACATAAAGACACCCTGTTAAACGTTAAACATTTTAAAGTATATTTGCTACCTACACTGATAGCTCATGTTCTTATTGGTGTTTTTTACCTATTGTGTTTGTTAGGGGTTACTGTTCAAGGCGCATCAAAAGAATACGAAAGTCTCTACACTTTCCACAAGGTGATAAGAGAAGAGTTAATCCCAAGAAAATAAATATGGATGCAATCAAAGATGTCAGGTAATTTACTCTTCTTTCTTTTTCAATGATAAATAATTTGATGGATGTCTCTTAATTTCTTAGGGGTTATATTTCTAATAGGGATGTCAAAATCAAATGTCGGTATTGCACAGGCTGTCCCATAGTCTGTACTAATAAATTGGTTATTTTTAAGAAAATCACATAGATAAGTTACAAAATGCTTCAAATAAAAACAGACAAATAAGTCAATATCAGACTTTGCCAGTCCTGCTTAAAGTAGTCTGATGAATTATGATGTTGATATAGGGAAATGTTCCAAGAAACAAGCTTAGTATTTTTGCAGAAGTTGACAGACAATCAATTTAAAACACAGTAAACAGTAGACTGTAAAAGATCCTGTAACACAATTTTTTTTATGGTTTTATACCATAAATATGATGCTCAAATTGAGATTTATCAATATTGTAAGTTCCAAAAAGCATTATTTATAAAGATATTACCGAATCTAACATTTCATGTATTTAATGAAAGGTAATTATAAATTTATTTTCTTTAAAGTCTTAGCCAATTTTTTCAATAAAAAATGAATGCATATCTTTTAATGATTACATAATGTGCACAAATATTTGCAGTGATTTGATATTATATAAGAATAATTGACAGAGCTTTTAGCAACAGTTGTTATGAGTTTTAATAAAAAGGTAATTATGTGGTATACAAGTCAGTTTTTAGCTGCAAGATTGTTTTATGGGTTCTCCTTTAAGATTTAAATTGATAATGTAATGCAGCTAAAAAAAATGTTTGCTATTAACTATACATTCCAAGGTTTCCTAGCAACATTGATATTTCTTTTTAATTGATATTTGACAGTGTTGTATTCATAATATTTGCTGTCTCCTTACCTAAATGGCTGGAACAAATTCAAAAATGATAGGAACAAATTCAAAATAAAGTTAAAAAAAATAATTTCAAAAATATGCAGTCATAGTCTAAATATTCAGTATCACTGAACTGTTTTCATTTAGATATGTGCATCTGCCTCTGTTTTCTGCTGAACGAGCGTGGTCTTATGCCATGCAGTTAAAGTCGGAAGCAAACACAGAACCTCGTAAGCGCTTCCATATGATCTCCAAACTGAAGAAAGCAGTTGTTTACGCTGAGGAACTTTATACATTATGTGAACATGACAAGTGTGATGCAAGAACTAAACTAGAAAGTCAGGTAAGAAAGCTTTGAAATAATGTTTTATATAATACAGTCTGAAAAAAGGTTCAGGGAACTAACGATATTCACATCATAACTACATAATTGCATCGGTTGTTTCTTAACCAGAAGAAAATCATTCAAATTTGTATGGTTTCATTTAAGATGTAAGTAATCATTTCCTTTATTGATGACACATTAAAAGCTTAAAAGTTGTATGCCTCCAGACGAGCCAAAATATTTTTTAATAAATTAACTTGTGAAAAATGATTTAATGTTTTAAGAAAAGTAAAAAAAAATATATAATATTCAAATAATAATTTACATGTTATTTTTTATTGATTTTGCAGTATCAGTGTTTTTTTTCTTTATATAACTACTACCCTAAAACGGTACCATTCCCAATAGAAAATAGACATTAAAATTCCCAATTGCCAATGTTAAATTCCCAAAATGACTGTTCAAAATGCCCACAAGGCAAAGTGATTTTTCTAAAATCATTTAAATCCAACATATTCATATAAATCACCACTCAATAGTTCTATCTGGACAGTAGAAGCTGTAAGCTATCTTTATTCATGATGTCTAATCTCATTTGTAGCTGAAAAAATGCATTAAAAAAATTCCCAATTTTAGTCAAAATAACGCATTTTTTCCCAATCAGTCTGGTACTGGCACCATTCCCAAAGTAGAGGAAAAAAACGCTGAGTATATATCCCATTATTTTACTGTGTGAAAATTTGACCTCTTTTCTTTAATTGTATGTGGTTTGTAAGTGCCATTTGTAATGTGTAAATTACTTTCTTTATTCACACAATATTTTTTTTTCTTAAACATTTCCAAACTAATCATGAAAATAAGCATAAACAGGGATGCATGCTGCGTGAATTTGATTTGTATTGTTTACAGTAAAATATTAAACAGACAATAAAGAATATACATGATAATCCTTACAGAATTGAGAGACTTATAGGTTGATAAATGATGTATATTATTTTCAGGCTTATAGGCATTATATGAGAGGTAGTTTAGAGTTTGAACTTGAGAAATGGAAGCCAGCTATAGAAAGTTATGGCAGTGTCAAGTAAGTTAAGCCAATTACACACTTTATGTGTGGTTATTTTTTATGAATGGTGATATTTTTAGGGAAACTAAGTAAAGGGATTATCAAGTTAGCTCAAGTTCAAAGGTTATACACCAAATATTGACCTACATTTTAAAAATATATGTTTTTAGCTCGACTATTCGAAGAATATGAGAGCTATTGTAGTCGCCGCGGCGTCGGCGTCGGCGTCAGCGTCCGCGTCGGCGTCTGCGTTGGTTAAAGTTTTTTGTAAAGTCAAATATCTCAATTACTACTTGAGATATTCAATTGAAACTTACAATACTTATTTATAGTAACAAGGTACATCAGATTGACAAGTTGGATAACTCTGCCTACAATATTGACAGAATTATGCCCCTTTTTAACTTAGAAATTTTGGTTAAAGTTTTTTGTAAAGTCAAATATCTCAATTATTGCTTGAGATATTCAATTGAAACTTACCATACTTATTTATAGTAACAAGGTACATCAGATTGACAAGTTGGATAACTCTGCCTACAATATTGACAGAATTATGCCCCTTTTTAACTTAGAACTTTTGGTTAAAGTTTTTTGTAAAGTCAAATATCTCAATTATTGCTTGAGATATTCAATTGAAACTTACAATACTTATTTATAGTAACAAGGTACATCAGATTGACAAGTTATATAACTATGCCTACAATATTGACAGAATTATGCCCCTTTGGAACTTAGAAATTTTGGTTAAAGTTTTTTTGTAAAGTCAAATATCTCAATTATTGCTTGAGATATTCAATTGAAATTTAAAATGCTTTTTTATAGTAACAATGTACATCAGTTTGCAAAATTGCATAACTCTGCCTGCAATATTTGCAGAATTATTTGCCCCTTTGAAACTTTGAAATTTTGGTTAAAGGTTAAAGGTCTTCAAAGATATTTACTTGAAACTTTACACATGCACTTAGGGTCATAATTGGAGGGTCATACTATCAAGCACTTAGAATAGTCGAGCGTGCTGTCCTACCGACAGCTCTTGTTCTTTTTCTTATTTAATTATTTTCTTCCTAAAATAAATTCTTTCAAAGATTCAAGTTTTACAATGATTGTTAAACTAGAAGTTACTTCAATAATGCGTTAAAATGCACTTTAATTCACAGAACAATCTATGAGAATCTAGCAAAGGCTTTCTCGAATTGATAATAATGTTGAATATACTTTAATTCACAGAACAATCTACGAGAATCTAGCAAAGGCTTTCTCTGAAGAAATGCAGACACTTTACCTACAGCGTGTGTCGGAGATTGAGCCAAACATTCGATATTGTGCATATAATATAGGAGACGAGACTGCCATCGAGGATCTGATGCAGATGAGACGTGAAGCAGGTGCTGGCGATTTCATGTTAGGAGAACTTGATGTAAGAATTTACTTTGTACAGTTTGTCACCACAGGTTGCTAGGGGAAATTTTTGTGTTGACATAAAGTATGACCCAGCATAAAAATGTTCTTTAATTGAGCAGCAACATAGCTCTGAAACAGTTTTTTTTACAGTCCGAGCATGCTGGAATCAAGCTTCTGTTAGGCTGTACATATTTTTCATGTATATTTTTTAGCTCACCTGTCACATAGGGACAGGGTGAGCTTTTGTGATCGCTTTTCGTCCGGTGTCCGTCTGTCCGTAAACTTTTACTTTAAATGACATCTCCTCATAAACCACTAAGCCAATTTCATCCAAACTTTACAGGAATGTTCCTTTGGTGGTTCCTTTAGTGGTCACCTTTAAAAATTGTTCAAAGAATTTAATTCCATGCAGAACTGCAACCGAAAGAAAAAACTTTAAATATCTACTTTTAAAAAACCCAAAGAGGTAGAGCTTAGATATTTGGCATGAATTATCTTCTAGTGAGTGTCTACCAAGTTTGTTCAAATAAAAGCCCTGGAGTCAAAATTGGCCCCGCCCCAGGGGGTCATTGATTTTCCCTATATGCATATAGTAAAAACTTAAAAAATCATCTTATAAAGAACCCAAAGAGCTAGAGCTAAGATATTTAGCATGAAACATCTTCTAATAAGTGTCTACCAAGTTTGTTCAAATAAAAGCCCTGGGGTCAAAAGTGGCCCCGCCCCGGGGGTCATTGATTTTCCCTATATGCATATAGTAAAAACTTTAAAAAACTTCTTTTAAAGAACTCAAAGAGCTAAGGCTAAGATGTTTAGCATGAAACATGTTTTAATGGGTGTCTACCAAGTTTGTTCAAATCAAAGCTCTGTGGTCAAAATTGGCCCCGCCCGGAGGTCATGATATTCCTTAATTGTGTATAGCAAAAACTTAAAAATCTTCTTTAAAAAAACCCAAATAGCTAGAGTTTAGATATTAAACATGCAACATCTTCTAGTAAGTGTCTACAAAGTTTGTTCAAATAAAACCCTGGGGTCAAAACTGGCCCCGCACAAAGGGGTGTCATTCTTTTTAACTATATGTGTATAGTAAAAACTTAAAAAATCTTCTTTTAAAAAACCCAAATGAGCTAGAGCTTAGATGTTTAGCATGAAACATCTTCTTATGGGTGTCTACCAAGTTTGTTCAAATAAAAGCCCTTGGGGGGGGGGGGGGAGGAAGGTCATTATTTTTCATTATATGTGTGTAGTAAAAACTTAACATCATGAAATATCTTCTAATGGGTGTCTTCCAAGTTTGTTCAAATAAAATCCTTGGGGTTTAAACTGGCCCCGCTCTGGGGGCCTATATACAGGTGAGCGACCTCAGGGCCATCATGGCCCTCTTGTATCATATCTTGTAGGAAACATATGATCAATTATAATCTATTTCAATTTCATTGTCTGGTATTAAATGTTCTAGCAAGAGATCATGTGGTCTTATTAATTATATAGTGCAGTTTTGTTTGTTTATATCATATTTGCTTGTGCCTGTTACTAACTGTAAAATTGCTTCATTTTTCTGTGGACAGACTCTGTTATCACAGACGAGAGAAAAGCAAGCAGCGACGCTGTCGGAGGTGACATGGCAAGGTCGTACAGTTCCAGTGAAGAGTGAACCGGTTCGACTTTTCCTGCTCAATCTACAGGAGAGTGGAGAAGAAGTGGAGAAGGCGGAGGGTATAGATAATAAAATCTCCATATATGAGAGTATATTGAAAGAGTGTATAGAAGCTCAACAATATCTTAGAGACGCACTACATGATGATCAGGTAAATAATTGTTGATATTTTTTACTCTCTATGAAAAAAAATAAGTCTTTCACAGCACTTTAATGTAGTTATTACAAAAGTATAGGAATTAAAAGGAAAATGAAATTGATTTCATCAGATTGATTTTTAAACAAAACTTGACTGTCATTTTATGTTGTCATATGATTATAATACTTTTAAGAATAAAGCTGAATTAATTGATAAAGGTGCTGTAACTGAATTAATTGAATAATGAGTAAAAACAATGTGGCCAACATTGTTAAAGCAAAGTAGTCGTATCTTAAAACAGTCTGCCTCCAGATTCATGTTAATTTTCGTGAAAATTTTGAAAATGTATTTTAAAGAATAATGTTAAGAAACCAAAAGGTAGCAATTTACACATTATCAGTGACACTAACAACTCACATGAATTACCAAAAAGAGGTCAAAATATGCAAAAATAGCCCTTACTGTGATAGTTATGCAGCAGAAATATAGTTTTACATACTAAAGAATCAGTCATTAATCACACATAAAGTGTAAATAATTACTTGAATCTTGCTTTTCCTAATATCTTAGTACATTTTTCTCAAGTTTGATTTCATTGATATTTTGACTCAACTTGAGGCATGCATAAACATTTTATTACTGCCTAGGAGGTCTTTTATATTTTCTTTATTTCAGAACTTAAAAATTCCTTTATTTATGTATTAAAGTTTATTTTTGCAGTACCCATATTAATTTACATTTACAGAATTTTAAGTTAGCTTTGCGGGGTCAGCCTATAGATGGAAAGATTTCAAATGCACATTACCTACACAGCTACCTGACTTATATTAAGTTGACAAAGACGATAGAGCGTAATCTACTCCTAATAGAAAACCTCAAGTTATACCTGCCCGGAGGCCAGGTCGAGGAAGGCAGGAAAGTCACCAAACCACAAGATCTTGTTAGGCTATATGATATTATGATACAGGTATTGTTCCTTACATATTCCAATCAGATTAAGCATAATATTATTTAAATGATTTAAAATTTACTAAAATGTTCTTTTAAAAAAATCATATAGTTGTTTTTTTAGCTCGACTTTTCTATGAAAAGGGGAGCTATCCTACTCGCCCCGGCGTCGGCGTTGGCGTCACACCTTGGTTAAGTTTTTCGTACCACCCCACTTTATTTCAGAAGTATTACAAGTATGGCTTTGAAACTTACCATACTTGTTCACCATCATAACCTCCATCTACAGACAAGAGTACATAACTCTGTCAAGGTTTTTGACAGAATTATGGCCCTTTTTTGACTTAGAAAGTGTATTGAGCTTGGTTAAGTTTTTTGTACCACCTCACTTTATTTCAAAACCATTGGAGGTATTGCTTTGAAACTGACCATACTTGTTTACCATCACGACCTTCATCAACAGACAAGAGGACATAACTCTGTCAAGGTTTTTGACAGAATTATGCCCCTTTTTGACTTAGAAAATACATTGAATATGGGTAAAATCCACTTATTGCCTTAACCCTTTGAGATATTGCTTTGAAACTTTTAATGCTATTTCACATCATTACCCCCATCTGTACGCAAGAGAAGGTAACTCTGTCAAGGATTTGTTTTAAAAATTAAGGCCTTTTATCGACTTAGAATCTTGGTTAAGTTTTTAGTACCAGTCCACTTTTTGACTGAACTGTTTGAGATATTAATTTGAAAGTTGGAATACTTGTTTACAATCATGATTCCCAAACATGTCCAGGAGAAGGTAATTCTGTCAAAGATTTTATTTGAATTATGGCCCTTAACTGTCAATGTTTTGTATTATAGGCAAGCACTAAAAAACTTAAAAAATCTAAAAAAATTCATTCCTATCCACTTGTTCACTTTACCATAAATTATGTCATAAGAACATTGCTGTAATATTCAAGGGTATCAAACAACTAGTTTTTTTTTCTTTCTTACCAGCCCTCTTTTGACTTAAACATTTCAAACTTTGCTGCAGTGTTCAAGGGTATCACACAATTCAGTAAAATAATTCTTCACTAAATATCTTAATGCTCATGGCCATTGTTCACTTTAAAAATACAGAGATTCTTGTATTGCCTTTTACTGCAAAAACTTTTTTTATTGGCAAGCAATAAAAAAGTCGAGCGCGCTGTCTTACGGACAGCTCTTGTTTAGGTTTGTTTTGGGTGGAGGGTAGTGGTTCTGGGGGGCATATCAGATGCCAGGTAGTCACCTAGTGCATATTGTTGGAATTTTGAAATCTGATTATTTTATTTTTGCAGAATTTTAACACTTTACACAGTGAACTTTTAGCTTGTCTGTTTCGAAGAAAAAACATCAAGCTATAATGATCCATTTGTTGATGTTCTTGTCATCTTGAAAAACTTTAAAATGTAGCCCGTTATTCAAACATTTTAAAAGTTATCAACATGAAACATGGAATACTTGCTTATCTTGACAAGGTGCAGTTGTTACACTGGGAGGCATAATTCTGAAAGCTATATTTTTAAGTCATACCCTCTTTAACTGAGAATTTTTGTGAAAAGTTGCTATTTTAAAGGAGGAGCTTGTTCTTCCTATATTTTACTGGGATCTTTCATATTACCGGACAAAATATGATGTTTTTTCGCTATAACTTGTATTTAAAACCATAAAAAAGAATGGAATTTTACCCAATTGCTTTTGGGTTCCTAATGTATGTTAACATAACTTTATCAAGCACAAGATTTTACATTTTGACTAAAAAATTGTGTCTACAAAGTGGAGCATTATAAGAGAAAAAAATGGTGTAGACAACTCGATTGAAGTCATGAATTGAAATTAATCTTAAAATAATCAAAACTGGAACTACGACTGTTAAATGGCAACGTTAAGAAAACCCAAAGCTGTCACTAAAAATAGACACTGTATCCATGCTTGTTATGAAGAGGCATATATATGTGGTGTAATGAAATTTCACATTATCAACTCAATTATCGTGTTGATTCATCATAACTCGGTAAAAGTAAAGTTTGATACTCATTTAAATTCTGTTCTTTGTCATACAGTTTCAGTTTTATCATCATGAAGCCAGTAAAATCCAGACAATATATTTTATTAACATTTCATGTAGAGTTTCCTCCCTTGGTTTGAAAAAATTATGCATGACCGGTTTCCTAATGTGGTCTTTACTTAGCATTTCCATGTAAATTACAACAATGAAATACTGTCTTGATTAAATTTTAGTACATCCTTTATCATTAAAATATGTTATGATTGTCTGCTGAGATAATTCAGAGAAGATGTATAAGTAATTCCTGTCTAAAATAACCCTTTTAGGGCCTCATTATTTGGGCCTACGCAGAACACATAATTCCCCCTCATGACCAGGTATGAAATAACATTACAAATAAAAGGGCATGTAATTAAATAAAGAACTGAACTGAATCAACAATATTAACCTGAGACTGGTCTTGTTGTTATTTACTTCCAAATTGAAAGTGTGTGTGCAATTTAGACTGGATGACATGAATTGAAACAAATATAAAGCCTTATTCGACAGTAATAGATTTTTTTCCGGTAGACTGGTTGTATAGTTATTAATATTAGGGATCCTAGTATATGTATACTAGCAGAAAACTTGTTTCTCTTTTTGACAGTCTCCTGTCATTAATCTTGTTTGATTGTACCCCAGCCTGTTTCTCTTGACATAGCAAATTCATAATGTTTAAGTATATAAAATATATTTCAGAATTTAGGAGAAATACCAAGTTTAGATGGTATAGAAGAAGATGAGTCATTGAGTATAGAAATGAGTACACGAGCTGTAGGATTTAAGGCATTTAGGTGTGTAGATGTTTATTTTAAATTTCTTATCCATGACCCAGCTGAAATGCCACCAGTATAAAGGCAGGCCAGACTGTTTGTCCAAGAAGTTTGAGCTGTCCTTTTAGCTCAATAGGTAGAGCATTGCACTGTGAATCGGGCAACTTGAGTTCGATACCCAGTGCAAGTCACTTTTGTGATTGATCATGAAATCCTTTCTACCGTCATTCGCATTGTACCTCTGCTCTGGCATGTACAGAAGTTATCAGTTCCTTGCCCAAGTGAAGGCAACTAGTACTGGTTAACTGTTTAACAGCATGCCAAGGAACAATGTGGTGGCTGAACTTTGCTCTAGTATGTTCAATGTGGTATACTGTTGTGATCTGGAGGGTAATTTACCAATGCCACCACTGTCATTGTAGTTTGACAATCTGAAGAACATCATTTTGATATTCTTAAATTGATAATAGACTGTTCCAAAAATGGAAGCTAGAAATTTTCATTATAAATATTTAAGCAGGCTGAGAGTAAATATTATATATAAAGGTTATTCTGAAAGAATAGAGGTTTAAATGGATCCAGACCAGCCTGCGCAGACTGATCAGGATCGATGCTGTTCACTTACCAACCCTACTACAAGTAGAGAAACTAATAGCGAACAGCATGAATCCTGATCAGACTGTGCAGATGCGCAGTCTGGTCTGGATCCATGCTGGTCGCAAATGCACTATGTTGGTTTTGTCATAACGGGCTCAATTTTATGTTAAATGCAATTTGTTTTATATTTCAGATGTTTTTATATAGGACAGTCTTATGCTGGTGCTAAGAAATGGAAGGAGGCTATAGGATTATTTGATAGGGTATTACAATATGCCCAGGAAGCTATAGGCAAATATAAAAAACTGCCCAATAATTCTGTATATAAGGTACATATGTGTTGATATATTTAATAAAAACCACTGATATTGGAATTACTTGTTTACCATGAAAGAGTTATGAAAAATTTGGAGATGCCTCCCCCAATTGCAAACTGGTTAAAACCAATTTCTTGAATCACTTTGGCAGATTGGTTCCGGTCACTAACTTTGAATCACTAGGGAAGACTTGTTTAGTTCTGTAATTTTGAATTACTTGGACAAACTGGTTAATGTCATTGAAGCAGACTTGTAAATTTTGTCACAGTTTTCTTTTATATGAAGAATTAGCTAACTTTCTGAGATAGGTAGTTTTACTGATGTAAATGCTTGACTTGAATGAAAATTGGTAAGTTGCCAAATGATTTTCATAGTGCTTTTGTGACTTTAAACACCGTATGGCAGCATTTTGTGTCTGGACATGCTTAAAAGGACATTTGTAATACTGAACTTGTTTTAATTGTCATACTCTTCTGTGACATTACATATACAGAAAATAAATAACAATACTACTCTTATGAATTTGAGGCAATGTACCGTATTGTTGTAATGAATTGATTATATAGATTTGAATGTTGCTATGTTCTAACATGGTATAGATTTTGTAATTAACTAAATGGCTTATGCTTACATTTGATCATTAATTTTGTGCCTGATCTAGTAAATTTGAAATTTGTAATGGACCTTGACAAAAAAAAAGCGGATAATACCTGTTCAGATGTTGATTATTGATAAACGATACAATATTATGTAGGTTGAGGTGAAAAATTTAGAGGAGCTAGCAAAGGAGGCAGATAGTTTGAAGTACTCGTGTCACGCCTCAAGTATTCTAGATACTGAATCATTGACAGACCAGGTAGCTGATATGTCTGTAAGGAATAACAAGGTATGACTATAATACAAATTACCATTCTCTATAACTTTCTGTGTTAGAAGAGCGTTTAAGCTTGTTTTAGAAATTATTTTGATTTAAAAATTAGATATTATTTTGAGTTCATGGTAGAATGGTTAACATTGCTGACATCAAGTCCCTAGACCATCACAGATATGGATTCAAATTCTGCTATGAACAATTTTTGTTAGGAAGATACCAAACTAGGTTAATGAAGGTTGATGGTCTACTGTGCCTGAAATAATGCCAAATGGGCAACTGTGGTATTCTCCACAAGTAAAGTTGCCACTTGACCTGTGTTGGTGTGGTTTGAATAAAATCAACCAATGAAATTCATAGATATGTTTTAGGATATTACTTTTGAAAAATCTTTCAAAGGATTTAGAAAAAATATGTCCCCAACAGTGATTTAATTACTTAATAAAATCACTGTTTCGAGTGTGAGGAATTACATCTTGAGGGCATAGCTGGAGTGATATAATGGTGGGAACGACAAACAGTGATTTTATTAAGCGACAGAATCACTGCTTGGGATATATTTTTATTATGCCCCGCCATGTAATGGCCGGGGCATATAGTGTTACCCTGTTCCGTCATTCCGTCCTTCCATCCTTCCGTCATTCTGTCATTCCGTCATCATCAGTTTCCGTTCATTATCTTAAGAACGGTTGCACACATTTAACTCAAATTTGACATATGGATATGTCATGAGAAAATACAGGTCAAGTTCGAATTTGGTCATGGTTCGATGATTTTTGGCAGAGTTATGCCCCTTTTACTTTGAAAATAATATGAAATTTCAGTTTCCGTTCATTATCTTAAGAACGGTTGGACACATTCAATTCAAACTTGACATATGGATATGTCATGAGAAAATACAGGTCAAGAACGAATTTGGTTATGGTTCGATGATTTTTGGCAGAGTTATGCCCCTTTTACTTTGAAAATAATATGAAATTTTCAGTTTCCGTTCATTATCTTAAGAACGGTTGGACACATTTAATTCAAACTTGACATATGGATATGTCATGAGAAAATACAGGTCAAGTTTGAATTTGGTTATGGTTCGATGATTTTTCGCTGAGTTATGCCCCTTTTACTTTGAAAATAATATGAAATTTTCAGTTTCTGTTCATTATCTCCCCAACGGTACAATACAATCAACTCAAACTTGACATATTGATATGTCATGAAAAAATACAGGTCAAGTACGAATTTGGTCATGGTTCGATGATTTTTGGCAGAGTTATGCCCCTTTTACTTTGAAAATAATATGAAATTTTCAGTTTACGTTCATTATCTCCCTCAAGGTACAACACATTCAACTCAAACGTGACATATGGATGCGTCAAAGGAATGTGCAGGTCAAGTTCAAATTTGGTCATGGTTCAATGATTTTTGGCAGAGTTATGCCCCTTTCACTTTGAAAGTAATATGAAATTTTCAGTTTCCGTTTATTATCTCCCCAATGGTACAACATATTCAACTCAAATTTGACATATGGATATGTTTTTGGAATGCCCAGGCCAAGTTCAAATTTGGTCATGGTTCAATGATTTTTGGTAGAGTAATGCCCTTTTCACTTTGAAAATAATATGAAATTTACAGTTTCTGTTCATTATCTTCCCAACAGTGTCACATATTCAACTTTAATTTGACATATGGATATGTCAAAGGAATGGGCAGGTCAAGTTGGAATTTGGTCATGGTTTGATGATTTTTTGGCAGAGTTATGTCTCTTTCACTTTGAAAATAATATAGATACATCTTAGGAATAAGCAGTTTCAGTTGGAATTTGGTCATGGTTCAATGATTTTAGACAAACTTATCTTTCCTGAATGTTGGAAAAATTTTGAACTTTCAGTTTCACCACTCATTCTTTTAGCCATTATTTTGGCTACAAATATGCAATATGCTATTTCTAAAAGGTTAAGACTGAATAATTTCAGTGCCTTGAACATTGTATGGAAATGGTTTGTGTTAACATTGAAAAGTTTTAAGGGCTTTGAACTTAAAATGAAAAAAATAATTAATGCACCAACTGAAATTTTGGCTGCATGCGGGGGCATCCGTGGCATGATGACACATTTCTAGTTTCAATTCTGATATAGTATAAATAAATGCTGCCGTACCTGATCAAGCTAAATGAATACATCACATGTCTAAATATAGATCGTCAACATTGATTTTATGCATATTTACACACACTTTTGGTCCTTATATGTTAAATAGGGAAACATGTGGGTCATATTAGAATGTTTCTCTAAACAATCTCATTCTCTCCCTTTAATAGAGAAGTATGACCAGTGTGAAAAATTTGATCCATCCTTACAGTGATATGTGTTAATGTTAAAGAATTAGTAAAAGTAGTTATTTGTGACTAAAATGGTTTGAAAGTAAAAAGCAAAAATGAACTACTAAATTTGTATAAACAATGAGGAATTAAGACTAATAGAAACTTCTGTTTTGACTGCATCAGTGATATTTTTCAAAGCAATTTTGAAATATTTACAGAAGTGATTTTTTTCAGTTATATTGTTGGCAGTTTGAATCTGCATTTAGAAATATGTGTGCTTGAAAGTGCATATTCCCATAATATTTATTCACTAATTTTGTTTTATTACCCACTGCACCTCTTACTTTGTTTAATGTATTTTACATTTCTAATTATGTCATAATATTAAACTTTAGCAGCCAATAGAATAAAATTTTATCAAACTGAATTGATGTGAACATTGACTTGTAGTAAAGGCAAGTTAATTCTACCTGTTGCTAAGTGGATGTCATTGACTTCAAACCACTTGCCCCTCACAATGTAGTTTCGAGCCCTGACAGGGACTTTTGGTTACTTTCATGTGAGGAAGCTGTTCAACTAGCTTACAGAATGTTGATGATTCTACGTAGGTGCTTGTTTGTGTCTGAAATAATGCAAGGAAAGGCATCTGAGTTCTTCTTCCACCAGTAAAGCTGGAAAGTCACCATATGATACTGTGTTGGTGTGACATAAAAGTTGATAAAACCAAAAAAAACAAACAAACAACTTTTTAAAGGTTAAAGCCTTATTGATAAGGTTCATTTATCAAGTTTTAAATCAATATTGTATGAGTTATAATTTTATAATTTTTATTTCAGCCACTGATGGAAAGATTAGACCAGTATGTAGAGGATCCATCCCTAGCAACCAAAAAGGCAAAACTAGTGACATTTCCCCCAGACTTTACCCCAATACCTTGTAGACCTTTGTTTTTCGATTTGGCCCTGAATCATGTAGAAATGCCATCTTTAGAGGATAAATTAGAACAGAAAAAGGCACCCAGTGGTCTTACTGGTATGGTTAAAGGTTGGCTTTGGGGTGGCAAGAAATGAAACGATGAAGTTGGATAATTATAGGATGACAAAAAACACACTAGTCACATGTGTTGTGAGACATCAGATGGCAATTAGTGAAGTGTTCAAAATTATAAATCTTGTAAAAAAAACACAGAATTCGACAGGCTTTTTCTGCCTTTATTGCAAAGGAAATGAGTAAAGATGACAAATGCAAAGTATGTAAAATTGTTAGAAATAAATTTGTTAAAGTTATAGGTTGCCTAAACAATGTGATTTATACAGAAGCCCCTTTTTTATTTCTATATGACATTGTATTTATTCTGATGGAATTGAAGCACTATTTATGCTTATAGAAATGGCTGAAATGGTGAGATGATGTAACTTTGCCTATACAGGTTTATTCTTGTTTTTGATATATAGAGATTTTAAAAAGAATGACCAACTTTTGGTGATAGATCATAGCATACTGTACATTTTTTGTGTATATATATTTCCTTTGATAAGATAATGTTGGTATATGGTGATATACCGACCGTCTTAACACTACTGTTTTATATTGGTTTAAATGGTCACGGTGTGTCAACACCTCCAGTGTATATGTTTGTTTGTTTGATTGTTTTTGATATGCTAATTATGTAAGGACAAGGTGATTGTTTGTATGACTGAGGTTTTTTGCCTTGTAATATTAAAATTTTCTCTTTCTAATATCTTTATAATATTTCCAACTTTTTGAATGAATATTGTACTGTTATTAAAGATCATCATCACTCAAGAAGAACATTTTATACTAGGATAGTTTGTGCTGGTAACTTTGGTGCGATATTTACATGTATTTATTTATTTATTTGATTTTGCTGCTATAAAACTTGAATTCAGCATTATAAAAATCTTGCTTTTCTTCCTGACTGAATGCTAGTGACAGCAATTACTGGCTGATGTCACTAGAACAAGCCCTGACACCATGCAAGAGAGTCTTATATTGATGACTGCTATATCTTTGTACTTTTGATATTGTAACAAAATATCATTACAATGGGCAGTTCAAATGCAAAGCTTAGCAAGTGATTTAGACCAATTTAGCTGGATTAGTGTTAAAAAGTTTAGGAAAATTATGTATGGATAGCATTAAAGTACTGTGACATGGTATACTAATGTATTTCAAATGTTAGAAAGATATAATATCACAGATATAATACATCAACTAAATATATTATATTATTTGTGTTGATTTATTAAACAGGCTAAGTGCAAATGTGTAATATTTACGTTATATTTTTCAATTATTTTTCTGATGTTGAAGATAAAGGATTGTAATGAAAATGTATGCGAGAGTACATGTGGGTATTTTCTCAGGAAAACATCCACACATTTTGACAAAAATTTAATAATTTGTATTTAAAAACACGCAACAGAGTAAATTTGTTTTTTTTATTACTGTTTAATTTGACATTAATCAATATTTACCCATTCTAATGGGCTCTTGATCCTTGATATTTACTTTAAATGTTATTAATTAATAGATTGAAGCTCAATTTTGAAGAAATACTAAACATATCAAGTTTGTTACAACTGATTTTGGTTGCGCATGATAATGGAAAAATCTTAACATTAAACTAGTGTTATAGTAGATATAAGAAATAAACAAAAAGACGACCTTGTTATGTAAATTTTTTGGGGGTATTATGGCTAACACAGATTTTGATAATAGTTTTGGGCGTATCTATCTTCTTGCTTGATTTTTTTTGTCTTGTTTATTTTTCTTTTAAATTTAATAAAATTGAGTCTGGACGTGTGTAAATAAAATTGTGTTCATATAAGAAGTTTAATTGTGAGAGAGTGTGAGATGTTTACCACGTGCTATCACTATGAGTGCTTGACTATATTTGTCAGTCGTTTTTGTATGTCTGACTTTATACAAGTAGTAGAAAATTATCTTTATAAAAATTAAATCAAAGGAATAAAGAAATTCTTAAACCGAAAATGATTTGTCATCATTTGCAATTTGTATGTTTTATGGGATTCTTTATTAGCTCACCTGAGGACAATGTCTTCAAGGTAAGCTTTTGTGATTGTCTATGTTCCGTCCGTGCATCAACAACTTCTTTTCCTAAACCACTTGACCAAATTTGTACAAAAATTGTTCACATTAAGCTGTTCCTCGTTTCTGGTGTGAATAGGGGCTTCACTTTGATGTTTTTGACCTATTTCTTAGGTGAGCGACCTGGGCCCTACTGTTTAATGTTTTACAGATACTGCATCAATCTTAACTGTAAATATTATAAGTAGGAACAAATTCATTAGAAACTTAGTATATCGTTACTTTAGTGCAGTAACAGGTTTACTCCTACTGAGTTATAAACGGAGTTAACCTGTTACTGCAGTATGTTGACAATATGATGAAATGCTTTCATGTTATAGTAAAAGCTTTAAAAAAGCGAAAGAGCTAGAGCTTAAATATTTGGCATGAACCATTGTCTGGTAAGTGTCTACCAAATTTGTTCAAATAAAAGCCCTGGGGTCAAAATTAGTCCCATCCCGCGGGGGGGGGGGGGGTCATTGATTTTCCTTATATGTATATAGTAAAAACTTAAAAAATGTTCTTTTAAAAAACTCAAAGAGTTAGAGCTTTGATAATAAGCATGAAACATCTTCTGGTGAGTGTATACCAAGTTTGTTCAAATAAAAGCCCTGGGATCAAAAATTGACCCTGCCACCGGGGTACTGATTTTCCTGATATGTCTATAGTAAAAACTTAAAAAAAATTTTTTAAATAACCCATAGAGCTAGAGCTTAGATATTAAGCATGAAACATCTTTTAGTGAGTGTCTACCAAATTTGTTTAAATAAAAGCCCCAGGGTTAAAGTGGCCCCACCCCGGGGGTCTGATTTTCCTTATATGTCTATAGTAAAAACTTAAAAAAATCTTCTTTTAAAAACTCCAATGAGCTAGAGCTTAGATATTTATCATGAAACATCTTCTAATGGGTGTCTACCAAGTTGGTTAAAAAAAGCCCCTGTGTTAAAATTAGCCCTGCCCCAAGGGCCTATATACAGGGGAGCGATTTCAGGGCCATCAGTGCCCTCTTGTTTGTGATGTAGTTTCTGTTTTGTGCCATTCTCTTTTTCTGCCTTGTACACTTTCAAAGCTATATTAAAATTTGTATTCCTTGTAGAACCCTGGATGACGTAACATAAAGGAAAATCTTTTAAAAGCGAAACAAAAAAGACTCTTCAAAACCACAAGGACTGCAGCTTTACTGTTATATATTAAGCACAACCAACTTGTATTCTGTAGTGTATAAGTTATCTGCCCTTTAATTGAACTCAAATAAGTAGAAAATTTTGATTCAGGGGCAGATAACTCAAAAACGAGAACATGACCCCATTTTTTTTTCGCTTAAAATGTTTCTGCTATATTCTAACAACATGCGGAGTTTAAAGAAATTCTATAGAACAGTTTCAATTTTGCCTATATGTCTACATGAAAACGTCCTTAAGATGGTATACTTCAACACGCAAACCACTGGTTATAATAACTTTATTTACGAATGGACTGTCTTCATACATGGACTACATAATTGTATCATAAATGATTTGAACGTGATATCACTCATACTTGAAAGCATCCCAAACGATTGCTAAAATATTTCTTTGATTTTATTATCTAACTCTGAACTTAGAATTTAACACTAGTTATTTTGGACACTTTTCAAATTCGGATATATACCGGATATAGAAACATATGTTATGCATAATCATATGAAATACATTAATGGCTGGTGCATAATATTCTAATTTATTGCATTCACAAATTGCATGATAAATTGGTTTCATTATGATCGGTATAATAAGCGAAACATAAATTATTGTGACTATAGAACTATCATAATCGAGGGATGGTACAAAAAGAACGGATTGTTACCTCGTGAATGTAAGATAAAATTCGACAACATAATAGCTGAAAAGATTTGAAACAAATTAAAGTAACAAGAATATTTACACTGCAGTTAAGTTTAAATATTTAAACAGTCATATTAAATATTGATGTATGATTATATTTATGCATAATTATCTGTTCTTTCAAAACATTCGCAAAATATGTTTGCCTGCAAAAATGTTTAAGAGGGAAAAAATCACTCTTGCGATTCCGGATATTATTCGACAAGTTATATGCTAATTTGCACTCAATAGAACTTTATATGACATCATCATCATAATTTTGTCGTAAATTATTTTCGCATCATGCATCAAATTAATGCGTTCCATTGGGTCAAAACTGCGTCTACTTTTTGTTCAATTCTAAAATATAGAGATATATAAGCTATTAAAAGAAGTGAACATTGCACACCCGCGCAAGTTTGGTACACGTGTACGTTATGACCATGTACCGCAGTGAAGACATAGTCATTGTAAAAGTGAGCCGCGTCACGACAAAACCAACATAGTGGGTGTGCGACCAGCATGGATCCAGACCAGCCTGCGCATCCGCGCAGTCTGATCAGGATCCATGCTGTTCGCTATCAGTTTCTCTACCTGTAATAGGGTTTGTTAGCCCTGATCAGACTGCGCGGATGCGCAGGCTGGTCTGGATCCATGCTGGTCGCAAACACACTATGTTGCTTTTGGCGTGACGCGGCTCAAATTGAAAAAAAAACAACACCAAGAGGATCCTTAATCACGAAAAGATGACAAGAGTACAGGCAAAATGGCGCTACGATCACCGTATTGTCTCTCAGCGTTCGGAAAGATGGTGCAGAAAAATTGAAACCACGATGCAAAGCTGCGATTCTTCCTGTGACAGAACGGCAATTTTAACCTAACTGAAATATAAAAATAATTTATTATATTAAAATCTTATTTCATTGGTGAACGAAAACATACAAAGGCGGCATATGTCAACTTACAATTAAAACAGGACCAAACGCAGACGTAACAGCGTCAAAAGAGACAGACTGTTAGTGTCAGAAGTAAATATTTAAGTAACGCCATGTTTCGTAATGTGAACATTTCCCCCCACTATATCTTCTTGGCCTTTAAAAGTAAGTGTTGCCCCCATATTTTTCGTACAATATATATTACAAAAAAATTGAACTAAGGCTGGCGAGGAAAGATAATGTCTGAGGACACAATGCTCATAAGTATCGCAATCATCGTGCGTCTATTGAACCAGTTTGAAGAATAACAAACATGAGTAAATCCCTGGTTGGACCAGCAACTTATTATTATAGAGAAGGCATTCGGAATCTGATAACATCCGTATATGCTTCTACGTCTTCTACATGGTGCTGTTTTTATTTGTTTTTTTTTTAAGCTATGGGACATTCATGTGTTACTTTACTATGATTATGTAAAATGAATTTACGAGTACGTAGGGGATCCTACATATTATTGTTTATAGTTTCAACATATTTTATTGCATTAAATACATATTTACAAACATATTATACAAATAATGAGTATATATCAAAATGACAATGGGTTGGGAAACAAGTTCTTACAACATTAGATTAAGCCCTTCCCAGATAATTGTTTATCAAAATTAATTATAATACAATGTATAATAAAATACGCGGTCCTTCCCCTTAATTATAATGTATGATACCACATAAAAGATCCATAAGCTTTAAATGATAACACAAAATGTTTAATTCTTGAATAAACCAGCATTTTTCAAAAGTATAAAGAAATATAAACCCAAATAAATTGAAAATCATTTTTGTACCATTTCAAGCGTTTTCAAAATGCTTTTCATTTTTGAATCATTTTCCACAATTAATATGATAACTGGAAAATAAAGAATAGAACGAATTGTCATAAGTTTAAATACAAGATATTGGTCCATATAAATGACATGCAAATCTCAAAGAAAAAAAATCAGCCCCGTCAAGTAAAAAAACCCAACTAAATGGAGTCCTTTTAATGAGTGTAAAACAGCAAAGATACTTTGAATCTTAATAACAATAGCAGGACCATCTATGAATGAATGTTCACCACATTTTTTTGCGTCTCGTCTGCTTTTATATGTATGTTAAATTTTAGGACATCACATTTGAAAATGTGTGGGAAAAATGTTGTCAAACCGGATATAACATAACATTAGTATTGTTTGAAAGTAATTTTCGTTTTGAATAGAAATATTAGATATGCCTGCATACAATATATATGTGTCTTTTTTGTTATATATTGATGCCTAGTGTATGAATAAGCGATACCTTTTCTTTTCTTATGCTACAGAAAATAAAATAAGGCAATCAACGTTTTATTACCTCATTTAGACAAAAACTGCTATTTTAAATAGGTATATTAACATAAGAAATAAAACTACAGTGATTCGAAAAATTTGACGAATGGTTTCAAAAATAAAATTTTACATGAGCTTTTGAAGCTGAAACATTTTAAATATAATATTTTGTTTCTTATATTCTCTATTAATAAGAACGGCTTCCTGGTTTGTGATCCTATATAAACATCTCTTTACATATATAAGCGAGTGTTATATTGCAAACGGCCGTTCGTAAACGACCATAAAACCTGTCAAGAATCTCTATAACTCCTTTTATTAGAAAAAATTATTGTATTATATACAACGCAAATTTGGTGGTGGTTTTTTGTAGTTAACCTTCAGGATCATAAAAGTAAGCTACTTTGAACTCACCACCACAGTTCAGCCACAGCATCATTCCATGTGTTTGTCAGTACTAATAAAAAAAACTTCACTTTTGCATGGAGCTGACAAATTTCTGTACATCCCTTAGCACATGTACAATATCAATGTGAAAGGATTTCATGATCGATGGGATTGAAAGTGACCTGCATCGTCCGAAAATCGAACTGGGGTAGCCCACGCCAGTTGCTCTTCTAAGAGAGCTAAATATATATATATAAATGTCTAGCGGAAGCATTAAAAACGGCAAATTTACATGAAAATTACAGACTCGGTTTGATTGAGTCTGAACATGGGGGTGATAAAAACGTGAAACA